CACAGACAGTGTAGCACCCAAGTCACCAATTACTCTGCCTCTCTGCTCCTAAATGTCAGCATGTTAAATTCTGAGCACACAGAGTGTGACTTGAAAACACATTGAGACATGAAATTATTCTTCATCTTAAATGCCACAAACAGGCTGAAAAGGCCACTCAGACAAGAACTATTGTTAGTGAAACACTTCATTAGTTACCACTGTATGGATCTGCTGAAATGTATTTATGCACTCTTCATCACATTTAGGCTTTGCTCAAGCAGGCATCTAAAATTAGTTTTTCTATTTTAAAGTGAATTTTTGTAAATATATTTCAGATTTGAAATAGTTTTTTGTTTTAATTTGTGTTTTTGTTTCAAATTTAATTTAAAATAACTTTTCTATTTGATATATTTTAAAATGTAATTTATTCCTTTGATGCAAAGCTGAATTTTCAGCATCATTACTCCAGTCTTCAGTGTCACATGATCCTTCAGAAATCATTCTGATATGCAGATTTGCTGCTCAAGAAATGTTTCTTATTATTATCAATGTTGAAAACAGTTGTGACGATTAATATTTTTGTTGAAACGGTGATACATTTTTTGGTTAAAAAAAGTTTTTATAAATTTGAAATAGAATTGTAACAATTTAAGAGTCTTTACTTTCACTTTTTTAATGAATTTATTGCATCCTTGCTGAAAAATAAATAAATAAATAAAATAAAAATCAACTTTTGAACAGTAGTTTACACAGTGTGCACTAGTGTCTACAGTTGTATTTCACTCACTATTTCCCCATATAGCAATCTCTGTGGCATTTATCATGTTGTGATTTTAGACACTGCATATCCATGAATTAGTAAATTACAGTAATACAAACATAACTTGTTGTCCCATGTAATTTATAACTGACATCATGGCAAAACAAAATGGTTTTGGCACTGCTGAATGATTGTCCAGGCCGGTTTATGCTGGTTAGTGCGGGTTTGGGGCTGGTGGACCAGCATAGCCGTGTCGCTCAGCAGAACAAAAATGAAAAAGCCCGGTATGGACACCAGCATCCAAAACACAACTCATTTGCAACAGGGGTTCATCGAATAAGAATTATTTTTCAGTTTATTCTTTGTGGTTCAACATTACCTTTAGCGATGGATGTGGTTGGTGACTCCTCCAAAGTTCCCCTTGATTAAAATCCCGTGGAGATGCCTGGAAGATGGGGATCAGGATATGTGCAGCTGAGATCCGTTCAGAGAGACTCAAAATCAATCTCTCTATGTTTTGCGATCAGCAGACCATGGCAGTGTGATTCTTGAACTAAACGCTCATTCTAAGCCAAACTTTCAGTCTCAAGTTTTAACCCCCCATGTGATGGTATGGTCCGGTCTGCCTGTTCTATTCATCTCTCTCCAAGAGACCCCCCTAGATCCCTGCTTTCTTTCTTCTCCCCTCTACATCTTTTTATAAAGCTAATGAGTCTGAAGGAGGGGCCGTCCTCCTCACTGTCAGTAGAATTTGACTAATATATGGATGCATTCAGTGTGCGCCAAATGGTTTTACTCCTTAACATGATGAATTGATGTGTGTAAATATATTCAGGAACAACTTCTGATCATTGTTTCTGAGATTTATATGATCATTGAAGTTGTATTTGTGTTTTCAAGCAAATATGAGTTGATAGTCATGCCATGACGACCATTTAAAGGTGTAGTGTTTCATATCTGGGCCACTAGTGTCACCAAACGCAATTGCAAAAATAGTTCTGACTCTGAATTCTGATTAGACAAGCCATATTTGAAGCCATACTTGTGATTGAACATACTATATTAATGTAACAAATTGCTATTGCTTAGCATCCATAAACAGCCAGCAGTTAAGCTAATGAACTATATTACTCACTGGAATTATTTATTCCAATTATTGTTATGAATAAAAGTAACTATTTATTGAACATTAATGTCTTTTATCATATTGATGTTGCATTTAAAAGCAATAAGCCATTTCAGGCTGCAGTTAAAGGAGTTTTGATCGGTCTTCCACTGGTCATTAGATCGCCCCATCCCAAACCCACGCTATTGGTCGAGCCAAACAAACATATTGCATTTTATTTTGTGCTGTTAGTTATGAAGAAATGACACATTTCACTTGTGACAGTAAAAATAAGAGTCCAATTGTAGTGTGATTAAGAGTTTGATTGTGTGTTAAAGTATCAAATATATTGTGTGGGTGTGAAATGTGTTAAGTGTTACTTTCACTCTCATTATTTAGTAGTACATGGGTGTGTACGTGATGTGGTTACGTGTGTTTGTGGTTATGTCCGTCTGCAGGTTCAGGCCACAGATGCAGATCAGGGGGAGAATGGAAGAGTTCTGTACAGGATTCTCTCTGGTAACTATTTATTCTTCCTGTTTCCTGATGTCACACATCAATGCATTGCGCAGATGCACTCCCACAATCTACTACACTAACTAACTAACACTGTTGCACAATATACCAATATACCCTGGACCACAAAACCAGTCATAAGGGTCAATTTTTCGAAATTGAGATTTATACATAATCTGAAAGCTGAATAAATAAGCTTTGTTTGTTAGGATAGGACCATATTCGGCCGAGATACAACTATTTGAAAATCTGGAATCTGAGGGTGCAAAAAAATCAAAATATTGAGAAAATCGCCTTTAAAGTTGTCCAAATGAAGTTCTTAGCTATGCATATTACTAATCAAAAATTAAGTTTTGATATATTTACAGTAGGAAATCTTTTGTTGAAAGACGGAGCAAGGGGCGTGGCAGTACTGAAACACCGTCTAAGCTGTTCGCCAATCACAACGCACTGGGACAGCTAACCAATCACAACACATTTTGTTTTTCGGAAGGCGGACCATCAAAGCCGGAACTAATCGAGCCGTTTGTGTCAGGATGGGGAGAAAGGTATTTTAATAATGTAAATTATGTGAAAAATAATGTGTTTTTCGAACCACCAAGCATGAGAGCATGTTCTAGTACACCCCCAAAACAAAATCAAGACTTTGTAAAAGAGCATAATAGGACCCCTTTAATGTCCTAATGATTTTTGGCATAAAAGAAAAATCAATCATTTTGACCCATACAATGTATTTTTGGCTATTGCTACAAATATACCCCAGCGACTTAAGACTGCTTTTGTGCTCCAGGGTCACATATAAAAAAAAAAATCGTTGTATAGGAATATTTTCAGTCATATTTTGAGCATTTTCAGTCATCTGTGGCATACTGTAAGCACTGGGGGAAAATGAATGGAAGCTTTTTTTCCACCGCAGATAAAAAAATAAATAAAATGAATAAGGCAATTGTACATTTTTGTCTCACAATTCTGAGTATATATCTCACAAATCTGACTTTTTTTCTCAGAATTGCAAAATATCATTCAGAATTGCGAGATATAAACTCATAATTCCGAGAAGAAAAGTCCGAATTTTGAGATATAAATTTGAAATTGTGAAAAAAAAAAACAGAATTGTGAGATAAAAAGTCGCAATTATTAAATGCATTTTTTAATCTGTGACAGAAAAAAATAAAAATTGCGAGGTGTGCAATGTCTCAGAGAAAAAACTCATAATTGCGATATGTGTGTACACAGAATTATGAGGGGAAAAAAGTCAGAATTTTGACTTTTTAGAATTGTGAGTTTATATCTTGCTATTCTGAGTTTGTATCTCACGATTCAGAATTGTTTTCTCAGAACTGCTAGAAAAAAAGGTTGAATTGTGAGAGAAAAGTATTTTTTAACTTTTTATTTTGTATTCGGTGGGAACTGGCATACATAAAAATGTGCTTAATTGTCATAAAAATATTGGCATAATGCAGATAATATTAACAATTTTCTTTTCTTTTAGAAATATATGACTCTATTTGACATGTTAGACCAATAGAGACAAATTTTGTAAGAAGCATAAATTAGCACTATTGTTTTCAACCTCAGCCTTTATGTGATGTACTATTTCAGAGTATGGCTCATGTGTGTGATTTGTTATCTGCAGGCAACAATGGTCAGTTTAATGTGGACAGTCTGTCTGGACTCATCAGCAGAGGAACTGCGGCTCTGAACCGAGAGACGCGTAGCTCTCATGTGCTGGAGGTGGAGGCCTATAACAGTGACCAGGGCAGCATGCGCAGCTCTGTCAGGGTGTGTTTGTGTGTGTGAAAAATAATATAACATTCCCTAGAAAATTATTTTTAAAGCTACTTATTCAAGTTTGCAACTCATTTTGCTTCATAATGTGACACATTTCCGAGTAAAAAGAGATGTTCAGTGATGAAAAAGGACCTGATTTAATCCATCAGGAACTGATTATAAGGTGACGTGTGCTTTGCATATCAGAATAGAGGTTGCTAAAACAATGCCTACTGTGCATAGTTATTTAACTATTAGTTAGCATTGTTTAATAGCCAGCACACTGTATTAATTCTAGCTATAAATGTCATTTTTTAAATAAATGTCATTAAAGACAAGTACTGAATATAATGTGTGTGTGAATCAGACTGTGATTGTGAGTTTGTGTCTGTAGGTGATTGTGTATGTGGAGGACATGAATGACGAGTCTCCAGTCTTCACTCAGTCGCAGTACAATCGCCTGGGGCTCAGAGAGACTGCTGGGATCGGTACATCTGTGGTAGTGGTCCGAGCTACAGACCCCGACACAGGTACACAACACAATCGTCCCACAAGCCTGTGCAAACACTCTCTTCTTGACCTTTGTAAGTGTTTGTGGACCAGACTAGTTCACAGAGGAGGTAAATGTGTCTGATAGGAACATCTATGATTGCTGTTGTTGTGTGTTCATAACACTTCTCATTTATTTGGATCTTTTTAAAGTGGGTGTGTGTCATACACCAAACATAGCTCAAGCTGTGTTGTATTTTTCCATTGGTTCTTAATGCCAAACAATATCACAACATTGCTGTTGCACTTCTGCTTGTGTCTGTAACTGCTTCCCTGTTTCACTTCCTCATAGAGGATGTCCAGCCTGTCATAAGCTGGACAGACGTCTACCCATCTGCGTCTTCACATGCCTCAGGCTCAGAGTGCAGTGTGCTAGAGTTCTGTCCTGTAGATACTGTATATAAATAAAGATTGTTATTGAAATAGTTAGCTAACGACATTGGAGGACTAAGGGTGCCACTTGAAAATAAAATCAAGCAATCAAGTGTAACAGTAATACATTGATAAATAATGTTTAATGTAGTATTTAAATATTAATAAACATTTAAAACATTACTTAAATAGTTTTCAATATGTCTATTTATTTTTTATTTACGGTTGTATTTTGTCTTTATTTTATTTTTAAGTGGTGCATCTGTCACCCACAGAAATTAACTATGGGCATTTATTTGTACAATAAGTGGTATTATCAAAAACGTATATTTAATATAATTTATATTTTTAATAAAACTATATATACACTGCCATTCAAAAGTTTGGGGTCTGTCTCTTGTGCTCACCAAAGTGCTTTTATTTGATGAAAAATACATTAAAAACAGTAATATTGTGAAATATTATTACAATTCAAAATAACTGTTTCCTATTTTATATATTTTAAAATGTAATTTATTTCTGTTAATGCAAAGCTGAAATTTTGTGGAATCCATGATATTTTTTTTTTCAGGATTCTTTGATGAATATAGTTCTGAAGAACAGCATTAATTTGAAATTGAATCTTTTGTAACATTATAAATGTTTTTACTGTCACTTTTATCAATTTAATGCCTAAAAAAATAAGCATTTCCTTCACAAAGAAAAATCGTACTAATCCCAAACTTTTGCTGTCTCGCTCTTTTTAGGTGATGGGGGCGCTGTAGCGTATGCTCTGGTTTCTGGCTCTGACCATAAGTTTGAGGTGGATGTAAGTACGGGTCTGCTAACTACAATGGATTACTTGGACTACGAGACCAAGACCAGCTATTTAATGAACGTCTCAGCCACAGATCAGTCTCCACCGTTCCACAGCAGCTACTGCACTGTCTACGTAACTTTACTCAATGAACTGGACGAAGCCGTGGCCTTTCTATCAGCCGGGTATGAAATATCGCTGATGGAGAACATCGCCACGGGAACAGAGGTGGTCCAGGTGAAGGCGCAGTCGGCCGATAACCTGAACCAGCTGACGTACCGCTTCGACCCTGACACCTCACCTGCTGCCCTGGCGCTCTTTAAGATTGACGGTGTCACGGTGAGAACACACAATGAGTGTGGCGATTTTAAGAAGTGAACATGATGCAACGAAGTGATGCAAACGCAACCCAAAAAGAAAAACAAAATGTGATAGGGCAAAGATGATGACTTATTTTACTATTCGACTAGTCAGCAGGTCAGTGTTTGACTCATGTAAATGACTACAGCACGTAGTTTTGCCATTTCTGGCAAAGCTAGCAATGCAAATGTAGTACCTTCTCTGGTCTGTTTAACAAATTTACTGTGCTTAAATCCATCCAGTTCAGATTTTGTCAAATCGGTGCAAAAAAATGTGGAATACCTTTACAGAGTCTGGGTAAGGAAATGTAAGGACATTACCCTAAAGCTTGAATCTTATTGGGCAGTTTTTTGCAGGGTGAACAAGCAAACAAACAAATAAATAAATACATAAATTTCTTGCAGGGTGAACAAACAGAAAAAACAAATGACTAAATAAAGCTAGACCATAGGGAAAAAATTACCCATCACAGGGATAGAATGGGTTTCATCTACAAGCTTGTCACAGAGAAAAATCCTGCTTGGTGTGAACCAAAACCACTTCATAGTTAAGCCTACTCGACTATGGACTTTGGTGGAAATGATTTTAATTTAATTCAGTCTTTTTTTTTTTAAATGTGGTCATTTCTCTACATGGATTATGTAAAATAATAAAGGATTTTGTGCACTCTACAGGGCCGTATAACTGTGACGGGACTGTTGGACAGAGAGAGAGGCGATTCATACACTCTTACTGTTGTGGCCGATGATGGAGGACCTAAGAGAGGCTCCACTGTGGTAATGAGTTCCTCCGTGATCTGTTCAATCTGTAGGACAAGTTCACTAAAGCCTTCAGCGCATACTGTAGAGAAGCCTGAATTGAACACAATATAATCATATTTGTTAAAGTTTATTTTAAAGGAATAGTTCATCCAAAAATGAAAATTTGCTGAAAATGTACTCATCCTCAGGCCATTCAAGATGTAGATGAGTTTATCTCTTCATGGGGACAGATTTGGATAAATTTAGCATTCCATCACTTGCTCACCAATGGATCCTTGGCAGTGAATGGGTGCCGTCAGAATGAGAGTCCAAATAGCTGATAAAAACATCACAATAATCCACAAGTAATCCACATGACTCAATCATTTATTTTATTTTAATCATCATTTAATGTCGTGACGTGAAAAGCTGTGTGTTTGTAATAAATAAATCCATCAAAGTCATTAACTTCAAAGCGTTGCTTCTGGCTAAAATGTGAGTCCTCTATCCATAATATTGCTTTCTCCAATGAAAAAGTCATCTCATCTGAATCAGGAGAGAAATATGCACAGATCAAACACTGTTTACTAGCAAAAACAGTTCTTAGCAAATATGTTGGTTGATTTTGATGTGAGAGGACAACAACGGATGGACTTTTTCACTGGAGGAAACGTTATTATGGATTATAGTCAGAAGCTATAATGCCTTGATGATGGATTTTTTTCTAAAGACGTGTGGATTACTTGTGGATTATTGTGATGTTTTTATCAGCTGTTTGGACTCTCGTTCTGACGGCACACATTCACTGCAGAGGATCCATTGATGAACAAGTGATGTAATGCTAAATTTCTCTGAAGGAAGAAACTAATTCATCTACATCTTGGATCGCCTGAGGGTGAGTACATTTTCAGCAAATTTTCCTTTTGTGGGGAACTATTCCTTTAAAAATTAATGTCTGTAAACGTTGTATCCAGTAGCTAATATGACAGTGATGTGAAATGTATATGACAATATGATTTTGATATACTATATAAACATGTAATTTAACCTGTGTAATTATTTTTTTCTGATTTCCTTCCTGATGCACATTTGTAGAAGGTAAGTGAGTGATTTTTAATTATCAGGTCATTTTTAATGCAACAAATGTTATATGCTATCAGAAAAGCATCTCATTTTCAATCACTCTGTTCTTTTGACAGGTGTCAATCACCATTCTTGATGAGAATGACAACAGCCCAGAGTTTGACATCACTTCGGATTTGTCAGTGGCTATTCCAGAGGACACACCCATTGGCCAGAGAGTTGCTATCGTGTTGGCACGGGACAAAGACGCTGGAAGAAATGGACTGGTGAGGGAGATAAATATTCAAAACACTGTTGAATGAGTTGTCATTCATTCGAAACCCCGCCTCCGTCACCCTCTTGTCTCCTTCAGGTGAATTTCACCTTGATCGCAGGGAACATGCAGGACGTGTTTAAGATCAACACAGCCAATAATACGTATGGAGAGGTTTACTTGAACGCCCGTCTGGACCGTGAAGCTGTTGACCGTTACCTGCTTAAAGTGAGAGAGAAACACTACGGACACATGCAATGGTTCTTTACAAAAACTCCTAGATTTCCTAGACAACATTTTATATCATACGCATGCTCCCTAGTTTTTAAAAGGCATGTTATATTAGACATATACATTATAGTTCAAAAGTTTCAGTAGGGGTTAGTAGGATTTTGTTTTCAAAGAAATTAAAATTTTTATTTAGCAAGGATTCGTTACATTTCTATTCATCAAAGATTCCTGAAAAAAAAAATACATTATGCTTTCCACAGGAACATTAAGCAGCACAACTGTTTTACTGTTTTAAGCAGCACAAGAAATGTCTCTAGAGCAGCAAATCAAGATATTAAACTGATTTCTGAAGGATCATGTGATATTGAAGACTGGTGAAAATTCAGCTTTGCATCACAGGAATAAACTACATTTTAAAATATATTCAAATAGAAAACAGTTATTTAAATTGTAATCATTTTATCAATATTACTGTTTAATTCATCTAATTAAAAATGGACTATGCACTGATGCTGCTTTTTAAGGCATGTCTGTCTAGGAAGTACACATGAAGGCATCTCACTTTGAATAAGAAAATGTCCAGACAGCCATGCATGGTCACAGTGTGTTGCGTGACTTTGTACATGTTTCCTTGTAAAGTTAAATATAGTACGTTTTGCATAATTAGTTCTGAGGTATATGGGTGTTTGTTTACTGATGTCCACGTGGAATCGTGTGTGTGTTAATGTGTTTGGATCAGGTGCGGGCGACAGATAACGGTTCCCCTCCGAGGTTCACAGATGTGTCGCTCACGGTGAATATTTTGGATGAGAACGATAACCCTCCCGTGCTGCAGAGCCCTCGTGGGTACAACGTCAGCGTCAGTGAGGTCAGAACCACAGCACCTCAGACCAGTGATATCAGCATCGCAGATTCTGGGTGCTAATCATTCAATTGTCTGCATGTGACACGTCAAAAGAAAGAAATATAATCAGAATAAAACCTGGTTAGCTTATTGGCAAAAAAAGTAGACAAAAATTTAAACTAATTATGTATTATAATATAAAATGACAGTGGGCATATGTGTGTGTTTTAGAATGTGGGTGGCGGTACATCTGTCCTGCGTGTTGTAGCGACAGATCGGGACATTGGACCCAATGCCATGCTGTCGTACTACATCACCGGCGGTAACCAGGACCTGACCTTCAGAATGGACCGTATGACAGGAGAGATAGTGACCCGACCGTCACCTCCTGACAGAGAAAAACAGCAGCAGTACACACTCACTGTGACTGTGGAAGATGACGGAATGCCGCCTTTATCAGTAAGTGTATGTGTTAGTTTGTGTCTGTTTTTCTTTGTAATCTTTCATCAAAATAATCTCTACCTCTAATTTATTCACCAAGGCCACATGTGTGGAGAAAAGTAATATATTAGCCTACATTTCAAGATCCAGTCAGATCCCAGTGGGTACAATAAAATCCCACCCGTGCATTAGTACATCTTTTTTGACTCTAAATTAAATACTACATTTTCTCTTTAAAAAGCCTGTCTGAACAACTAAACAGCAAAAACAGGAAACCACAACCTGCCTTGTTTCTGAAACAGGAAGTTGCACACTTAAGAGCTTGTTGATTCCTGTTGTGAACTTCACAGCGGTCTCGGTGCATCAAGTGTGACTTTTGGGCCTCTAGTATCTGTATCCACTTTCTAAAACCATCCAATAAATGCTGAATGCTCAAAAATCAGATTGAAACTACATTTTAGGGATACGTTGACTTTCAAACGACTTCACCTAAACAGAGAGATGACAGACTAATTTGAACAACAGAACAGGCCAGTTTCATCTTAAAGTTTTAGCTTTTTTGGTAGAGGTTGGGTAAGTTCCCGATAATGGTTTAGAGGCCCTGTCACCCGTCGGTTGACTGTCTGCTGTCTCAGACACTTCCGAGTGATTGAAGAGATTATTTGTTGCATAAACACAGCACAAGGACTCTCAGTTCTCACCAGAACAGTTTTATTTGTTTGTACTTTTATAAAACAAGATTTAAGCAAGTGGTTTTCGATTGTATCAGCAGATGTGTAACAGCATTGTCTCTGGAGCTACATATACGGTGCTACCTAGCTGTACATGTGCAACTTCAAATATACAAACTGGTACAATGGCATATTTATCAGCATTTTTACAATATTTGCAATCATTCATCTACAAACCATTCATACACAAAGCAAAGTATTGGCACTCTTTATGGCAGTGGATTTCAACTTTTAAGCTTCCTGAAAACGTTTTCCAGCTCTGTGTTTTTTTTTTTTTTTTATAATTTTTAAAATAATGGAAACACACACACACACACACACACACACACACACATAAATCAGATAAAAATTAAATACAAAATAGATAGAAAATCTTCTTTTATGAGCCCTCGGGCCCTTAAAGCCACAGGTGACACGAGAGACGTAAGAAAGTGGCATTGTGTTTGATTGTCACTGATGCAACATTTACCACAAAAAAGAAAATCTGCACTCATTCTGACAGAATGCATCGTTTAGCTACATACATCATAAAAGCACCACACTCACTGCAAGAGGGTTTAAAACACCCCATCATTTCTCAGCAGGTCTGACGGTGAGTGTACTGAGAACATCCCTTTTCCACCGACACGTGCCGGTGCTGGTCCCAATCTAGGCCCATTACATAAAGACACTGAATTATCAATTATTTCACATTTTGAAACAAACACAGTCATTTGCATCTGCAGATTTTCCGACCAAACACCGAATCCGGGACCAGCACAGGCACCATTTCAGTGATAAAGTGATAACTGAGTACTTTGGCACTGACATATTGAGTATGGAGGAAATAACTATTGAGAAACTGAGTACTGAGATGGGTAAAACAGGAGTGAATGAGGTATTAATACATCCCTGACCTCTAGAAGAGAGCGGATGAACTGATTGTTTCATTGGGAAAGGAGGATGAGGATGGGGATAGACAGATTAGAGAAGAAAGAAAAAGAGTAAAATGGTCTTTTAAGTGCAAATGAAACCACAGTGTGTCTGACACACAAAGCACGTGATGAACAGAAATGTGTGCAAACAGCTTTGCTGAAATCAATTTTTCAACTCAAATGGCACAAAAGAAAATCTTTGGATCCTCTTCATGAAAATTCCCTGTGATCAGCTCTCCCTAGTGCCCTAACTTGTGAAATAGTCCGATTTTCCTTCTCGGGAAACCCGTTTAAGAACAGTCAGCAGATAAAGGGTCCCACCGTAATAGCAGAGAGTTCAGTTCTCATTTTTTGGGGGTGGGTCTCTCCTCCTCATCTTTGCAGAAGACAGGAAGAACAGAGGCATGATGATGTGGAGGAGAAGGAAGAAGAACTAGATGTTCCTGGGGTGGACGTGACGTCTTTTACTCCATTAAGTTGGGACACTCAGGGATGGGTTCTGGGAAAATAAAGTCAAATTATTACCTTAAATAAGCCATAATTTAGTTTTACATTAGCATTTTTTCCACCCTTTCTCTAATCTTTATAATTACCAAGTCTGTTTTTGCTACTGCATCTTTAAGACTTAGAAGTGAATTAAATGCCCTCTGTTTTGATTGGGTATACACTTGTTGCCAGGCTGTGTGGGCGGTCCATATGTAAATATGCCAATGAATGGTATGAATGGGATGTGGTGGGTGCTTTGCATTATGAATGTTAGTGTACTAGAGTATGTTTACACAGTAGTTTTAGATTGTCCATAACTATTTTCCATTTATGCATGTGGTGATGCAACTTACATTGTGTTCAAGGTATATGCTAAATCAAGTTTTTTTCCTTATTTAGGAATTGAATACATGATTTCGACATTACTTGTGTCATGCTTTACTGTTTGAGCTGCAGGAAAGTTGCGTGTATTATTATGCAATTTATGTCAAAATAGCAAGGAAAACTCTCTTTCCTATGATATTTTAAGGTCTTTAAAGTCATCATGAAATGAGAATTTACCCCATTTACTATCTTAATACACATTCCCGGGTTTATTAAGCACATTTTCCCCAGATTCTCATTATCAAATTATTTCATGTAAAAAATAATCATTATCATAATCGTCAATAATCACATATTAGTAAATTTGTACATTACACTTGTTGCATTTGCACTGCTTTATTTAGTAGTTACTGTATTATTCAAGTACAGTAGTTATTTATTCAAGTTAGTTTACACTCGAAGTGGATTGGTCCCTCTAAGCGAGATCCCAATTTCGTCGGTCAGCCGACGTGACGTCGGGAGTGACCGACTGAAAGGGAACCTATATTACAGTAATGAGAATCAACATTTAGAATAATGAAAATTGGTAAATAAGTAATTAAATAATGTGGATGCATTTCAATAATGGGAATTTAGAAGAAAAATGTACTTTCTCATAAAAATAATGGCGCAATTCAAAACAAATCTTATATAACTTTTTAAATCGTATCTTGTTCTTTTCATTATGCAAACCTTACTTATTTTTATTTATATTATTCTACATTTTGTTTTCGTAATCTATCAAATTAAAATAACTTGCTTGCATACAACTTTCCTTTTCATCTGATTGCCCACTTTTCACAATCCAGTCAGTTACTAAATGATACAGTTAAGTCCCACCCATTTATTTTTTATTAGTGAATATCTTGTTTCACTTCAAAATAAGTCACATTAAGTAGGTAAAATGGTTTGCAAGCTTGTTTAACACTGACTTTAACGTGTATGTGTGGGAATACAGAACTGTCTGTGTATGTGCCAGTAGGTCATGTATAATGAAGAAACACACATGAAGGTAGGCACGCACGCATGCACACACACGTTCTCGGTTTCTCAGAATCCACATAGCCATCAGAGAAGCAGAAATGAGTGTTGTGAAATGAGGGAGAAAAGGGGAACATTGACATTCTGTAAATTCCGCTGAGTTAAATGTTAAAGGAGAGGAGGCATGTGTCTGTGTATGTGTGGAGACTGAGCTGGACCTCATAACGTTCGCCTACTCACGAGACTCTGGGTTTTGTATGATTGTGTGCAGATTTGCATGCGTGTGTTAAGTTTTAATTGAAACTGTGGGTACATCCTGTGACTACTGTGAGGAAGAAAAATGTGTCTGTTTGTGTGGTGTGTGCACATTTGCTTAAAATTGTGTATGTACCATCATTGTGTGTGTATCTGTGTGTGTGTGTAGTGGTTCCCCAGATGTTTCTTGTCGCCTGCATAACGGTGACAAGCTTTAGCAATCTAGCTGGAGTTGGATTACAGTTTTGTGTGTGTGTGTGTGTGTGTGTGTGTGAGAGAGTCATACCTTGTGCTGGGAAAAACAATTCTCCTTGTATGTTTGGAGAAAATGGAGTGCCGGGATCTGACAGGAGGTGTCGTCCTGTTTCAGATGACTGCCTCATTATTTGGGATACAGTCCGAGGTTTAGGTTGTGGAGAATCACCCAAAAACACTGGGTTATCATGGGCCTGTGCTTCACTAGAAAGAGAGGGATTATAAATTATATATATATATATATCATCTCAAAATCAAAAGTAGCTAATAATAAACAATAGAAATTTAGAAGGAAGATGTAGTTTATTATGATCAAAATAATGTCACAATACAAAAAAAATAAAGGATTTATTGGTTTTAAATTTGAGCTTTGTTCTGTAATTACTTGTTGTATTTATATTAATTTAAAGGTGAAATTCAGTTTGTATGTTTTTGTGAGATTCAGCCAAATATCCTTTGTTTAGTCTAAGTATTTTGGTCACTATGGAAACTCACCTGTCCATACGCACCAGCTCGTGTGCACCTGATAAAAACAGGAACAGGAAGTGGTTCATAGTGAGAAAGGATATGCAGTCTCTTTAAAACAATTAGTGCAGCTACTGTACTCCTATCAGCAGTCTCTGCAGTGCAAGACGTGCAACGTACTCTCACACACAATATAGGTCAGAGTAAGTGTGTGAGCAATTCATGACTAAGTGTACGTGTTGTGTGTGTGTGTATGTACTCACGTCTGTGCCGCTCTACTGTTTGTCTCTGTCTGTAAACCAGCATCAGTATGAGCGGAAGGCACAGAATGAAAACGACACAGGCTGTGATAGCCAGACCTTCAGCCAACGAGTCTAAAAAAAAAGAAAAACAGAGACGTTACTGGTGCAAAATAGAAAATAAATTAAAGGCATAGTTCACCCAAAAATGAAAATTCTGTCATCATTTACTCACCCTCAAGGTATTCCACACCTCTGTGAGTTTCTGCTGCTGAACTCAAAAGAAGATATTTTAAAGTGTTTTGGGTAACCTAACACTTTCATTGATTTCCATAGTATTTGTTTTTCTTCCATACTATGGAAGTCAATGGTGACCAACAATTTTTTGGCTATCCACTCATAAAGGTTTGGAAACTCATAAAGGTTTGGAACAAATTGAGGGTGAGTAAATGATGACAGATTTTTCATTTTTGGGTGAACTATCCCTTTAAGTCATTATCATCAGACAGGCTCATTATACATGTCTTATTCACAAAACTCTATTTGTGAACTTGAGGGGAACTTTCATTGAACAACAGTGGAAGCTAGTTCTCAGAAAAACTAGCATCATTCAATTACAGATGCCACTTAGACAGACTTTCTAAATGTTTTAATACTTTTTAGAGCCATTGTATAATTTGAGTGTGGTGTTGAATGTACCATCTGAAGGACTGTGAGACCACTCCAAACACTTCAGACTGCCGTTGTGAGTATGTCCCATCGCTGTGGAAATGTGAAATGTGTTAAGATCACACAAAAACAGAGTGGATACATGAATGTCACACCTGACCTCTCTCCTCACTCACTTACATGGCACCACATTCAGGTAGATGAATTCATGGGCCCCCTGCTCCACCTTTTGCTTGTTATGAACTTCCAGAATCAGACAGCAGTATTTTCCCTGGTCCTTGTGCTTGATGTTCTGCAAGATGATGGAGAAAGCCTTCTTGTCTTCGATGTATTGCACTCCAATTGTGCGGTTGGAGTAACTAGACCCGCGTGGATGTGCACCCTTGTGGCAGCGCTCCTGCGAGTGAGGTGTGAAGAGCCAGGTGTTCCACAACCTATCCCCCGAAAAAGTCTTGGATCCGGACTGAACACATGTTAAAGTGACATTGGCCCCTTCAGGACACTCGTAGACCCGATGGGGCACGGAGACACTGAAAGAGTGACGCTCACCGCTCACTGGAGAGACAGAGAGAAAACAGTGATTGTATATTTAAATGTAATATTCGATATAATGTGTAGATCATAAAAATACTTTTTCATGTCCCAGCTTAATTACTACAGACAACTGTAAAGCTTTTGTAAGTTGATTTTCTCGAAAAATTTAAATGCATACAAAATATTTAAATTTGAAATTTGACTATTCATTTTGAATTTAAGTTTCAACCTTTCGATCATAAAAATACTTTTTCATGTCCCAGCTTAATTACTACAGACAACTGTAAAGCTTTTGTAAGTTGATTTTCTCGAAAAATTGTAATGCATACAAAATATTTAAATTTGAATTTGAAATTTGACTATTCATTTTGAATTTAAGTTTCAACCTTTCTTCATTTTTTGAATGTCAGCACAGGCAAAGACATGCAGCAATATCTGTATTTGACAGTGGATTTCTTGAGCTTCCTCATAGAAAGTGTGCATTTGGTATTGTAATGTGTGACGTTCAGCACTTTAGAGTCAGCTGACCACATGTGCATCTCTGCACATTTATCAGAGTTTGTTTACTGCAGTATCTGTGGCTGTGCTTTAGCAGTTGTCTTTATCTTAAAAATGTTCAATCACTGTCAAAATTTAAGCCACACATTTAAAAAGTGTCACTGAACAAGTAATTTGATATACATTATAATATTATTTTTAATGTATTTATGATTTTAATATCAAATCAACTTTGAGTATCTCCTTATTGTGAAATGCTATATATATACACAATATTTACACATTTATTATCAATAGTGTATGAGAGTCACTGAACAAGTGGTTTGTTAGACATTATTCTATTGTTTTTTAATTTTTTATTATCATTTTAATAATTTCTCATCAATTTATCAAATTGTTTGTAAAAAAAAAATATATATATATTTCTGACCTCTCTCCTCACTCACTTACATGGCACCACATTCAGGTAGATGAATTCATGGGCCCCCTGCTCCACCTTTTGCTTGTTATGAACTTCCAGAATCAGACAGCAGTATTTTCCCTGGTCCTTGTGCTTGATGTTCTGCAAGATGATGGAGAAAGCCTTCTTGTCTTCGATGTATTGCACTCCAATTGTGCGGTTGGAGTAACTAGACCCGCGTGGATGTGCACCCTTGTGGCAGCGCTCCTGCGAGTGAGGTGTGAAGAGCCAGGTGTTCCACAACCTATCCCCCGAAAAAGTCTTGGATCCGGACTGAACACATGTTAAAGTGACATTGGCCCCTTCAGGACACTCGTAGACCCGATGGGGCACGGAGACACTGAAAGAGTGACGCTCACCGCTCACTGGAGAGACAGAGAGAAAACAGTGATTGTATATTTAAATGTAATATTCGATATAATGTGTAGATCATAAAAATACTTTTTCATGTCCCAGCTTAATTACTACAGACAACTGTAAAGCTTTTGTAAGTTGATTTTCTCGAAAAATTTAAATGCATACAAAATATTTAAATTTGAAATTTGACTATTCATTTTGAATTTAAGTTTCAACCTTTCTTCATTTTTTGAATGTCAGCACAGGCAAAGACATGCAGCAATATCTGTATTTGACAGTGGATTTCTTGAGCTTCCTCATAGAAAGTGTGCATTTGGTATTGTAATGTGTGACGTTCAGCACTTTAGAGTCAGCTGACCACATGTGCATCTCTGCACATTTATCAGAGTTTGTTTACTGCAGTATCTGTGGCTGTGCTTTAGCAGTTGTCTTTATCTTAAAAATGTTCAATCACTGTCAAAATTTAAGCCACACATTTAAAAAGTGTCACTGAACAAGTAATTTGATATACATTATAATATTATTTTTAATGTATTTATGATTTTAATATCAAATCAACTTTGAGTATCTCCTTATTGTGAAATGCTATATATATACACAATATTTACACATTTATTATCAATAGTGTATGAGTGTCACTGAACAAGTGATTTGTTAGACATTATTCTATTGTTTTTTAATTTTTTATTATAATTATAATAATTTCTCATCAATTTATCAAATTGTTTGTAAAAAAAATATATATATATTTCTATGTGTAATATTTCTACATGCTGCATAAATTATTTTATTTTTTATTTTAAATCAATAAAGGACTCTTGAAATGCTTGCTTGAAAGCTGTGCTTTTTTAACTTCCATCAATTTATCAAATTGTTTGTAAAAAAAATATATATATATTTCTATGTGTAATATTTCTACATGCTGCATAAATTATTTTATTTTTTATTTTAAATCAATAAAGGACTCTTGAAATGCTTGCTTGAAAGCTGTTCACATCAGTACATGTTTAAGTGTTGCTTAAATGTATACTAAATTTGTATACTAAATTACAATAACAGTAATTAAAGAAATTTGAAAAACAAGCTTTGTGAAACCCGGATGTGCTCTGTGGAAGCACAGCATTTCCACCACATTAATGAACAAACAACAGCAGGTGTCACTTCAGACTTCAGTCCTTTGCTGCTATTGTTTCTTATATCCATAACCATGTTTGTGCTTAAGTTTTATTGTGTGTGTGTGTGTGTGTGTGTGTGTGTGTGTAGAATGGTGGCGCAGCGAGTGCATTGTTTCCTATCCTGTAATAGACAAAACAGACCTACACCCTAATCACACATACAAACCCTATGAACCAAAGCTGAATGTTTATCAACCAGACAAATAAAATAGGAAAGACCCAGATTTCTCATGAATGGATAAATATTTCCTATATTTATGAATGACTGACCTAGATATTGACTGCTTGAATGCATGGCTGCCTGTCAGTCAGAAACTTGTGTAGCTGACCTTAATGTGTGTAAACTGTTCTTCATTTAAGATGCCTTGAGTGACTTAAATGTACATAGCTTAAGTCTATGTGTATGTGTGTCAGGAAGAGCAATAGGAAACGACGTCTTTGTGATAAAGTGCACTCAGGGCAGAGTGTCTGTTCCGGTCTCTCACTGACACAATACAGTTCAAACCCCTCTTGCCCTATTGTTCCCTATAAACCTCATCCGCCCCCATATTCCTAATCAGCGTTCATAATTATCCGGTCCAAGGCTCCATTTTCCACCCCGTGAGATCCTGTGCAGGGAATCCGCTCTGGCAGCTGCCAGGGGTTCAACACGTCTTTGTTGTGACTGGATGAAATACTCCCCTGCACTCTGGACATAATCGTGCCGTCGCTGAGTACTGGGTCGTGATTAGATCAAAGGCATGTTAGAAAGTGTTTTGGAGGCAGAGCCAATCCAAACTGTTGCTTAAACAGCCATTGATCCATTCAAGAAAGGTTCAAAACAACGTAAGCACGATTCAAATTTATTGTTGACTGATAGCATAACTTGAATTGAGCTCAGAACATTCTCAGACTCTATCTGAGCGAGATAAATAATAATGAAACTTTCCCTGTTTGAGGGCATCTGTCTGCAGCCAATCCAAACTGTTGCTTAAACAGCCATTGATCCATTCAAGAAAGGTTCAAAACAACGTAAGCACGATTCAGATTTATTGTTGACTGATAGCATAACTTGAATTGAGCTCAGAACATTCTCAGACTCTATCTGAGCGAGATAAATAATAATGAAACTTTCCCTGCTTGAGGGCATCTGTCTGCAAATGTGTTTATCTGTGACATCAACACAAAAGCATCTGTGTCACAGAATTTACATGGACATAAGAATCCATCCTGTACTTCAGTACTGATATTTGAAGAATCACATTTAGATATATATTACTGATATTTGAAGAATCATTATGTGCCACGGTTTCCAGAATGTGCTTCATTTTATAGAGAAAGAATGTCTATGAACCACAACCATTGAAGCCCCTTTAAAGATATTTTGCCATGTTTCTTGTTTTCATTACAAAGAAAATTAATGGTGATTTATGCTGCCAAGATCCAAAAGGACACCAAAAAAATGAAAACACCGTCTTCCTTTTTTGCAATAGTTTTAAGTTGTTCACTGATCATGACTTCTGTAAAATCGGTCACCTGATAAATGTCAAACCTGGTGTGATGCATCTAAAGACACTATTTTGGAAACGAACACAAATACAAATGACATTTAAGAGGTTTTTTGGAGGGCAGGATTATCAGTAAATTTCTAACTATTCCTCACACTGTCAAGCTTCAAGAAGCAACGTAAAGTATAATTGAAAAAAAAAAAAAATTACACAAAGGTTTTCTGAAGCCATGTCATAGTTGATCGTATTTTATGCTGCTTTTGTCCTTTTTGAAGCTTGACAGTAGGCATGTACTTATGATAAAGAGCAATTCAGACACTGAGCTTCATGGAAGACAAAAATACAAGGTCATGAGAAGTGCATTTTTGTATTTGTGTGAGCTGTTATTTAAAGAAAGAACCCCCTTTTCAGCCCCCACCTACATGTTAGTCTCATTTCTTTGTTCTTGCTATCTCTATTTGTATACGAGCCTCGTTAAAAGGTGTTAATGAAAGCCATAGGGGTCTAAGCACCTCCCTCTCATCTGCAGAGAGCGTGACTGTGAGGGACCGTCCCGTTTCACCTGAAACCTCCTGCAGATCAGTATCTGCCCTCCCTCAACTTCATGTATTGTTTTCGTAATCGACTATTTGACATTTCCAGAAGCAAAATCAATTACATCTTTGTGGATTTTCTGTGCTGATTTGTATTTGAAATAAGGAGTGTTTTAAAAAGGCACAATTTCTGCGGTCGACCAGTCTTAAGCGTCAATAACAATAAGCAATGGTAATGTTTGCTTTTGCAAGCAACACTAATGCTCATGGTTGCATCATTTTTCCTCCCTCATGTTATTTTTCTCTTAGTTCTTAGTCAGTAATTTTGTCCTCTTCATATTTTTACAGAGAAGGCAATGTGGATGTAGCCTCTCATGGGGAATGACAAACCCAGGGGGTCAGGAATGTAATCCTGGTGCAATATCCACAGATAGTCTCATTCCATCTGGGATCCTTTCTGTTTGTCTTCCTGTCTCTCTCTAATAAATATTTGCTCCGTATCTCTGTTTCAAACACATCTTGATTTCTCAGGCCTGGTTAGGATGAAACCATCAGGCTTTTTGAGAAAGATCACATGTCCTCACTCTTCGAATCGATACCCCCTGCATGGAGAACTGATCTGACGGTTACTCAGTGTTAACAGCTTCCCTCTTGGAACAAGCCTCACACATCCTGTCGCTTCCTGAAGGCCCAAATCTCATACTGTTTAGCTTTAGACCAACCACACTAAAATTGGCAAAAATCAATATTAGCTAAATGATGAACCAGCCACAGTCTATGGATTAATGGCTTCATTTGCAAACTGAAGCTGGGTAAATTCAACTGAAACATGGATTATTTTCATATAAAACCTTGTATCTAATTTTGGCAAACAGAGGCTTTAATGTAATTTTACTATGAATATTTTTGGTGGCCTAATGGTTAGAGAGTCGGATTTAAAACCCAAAGGTCACAGGTTCGAGTCTGGGTACCGGCAGGGATTGTAGGTGGGGGGGAGTGAATGTCCAGCGCTCTCTTCCACCCTCAATACCACGACTGAGGTGAGACCTCAGGTGAGACTCCTAAGATTTGGAGTCTGTAGGTGTGTTAGACTTAAACAGCCCCAGTAGCCCCTCACTGCAGAACACAAGATCCAGGGGGCGTGCGCGGCGCAGACCGATCTGTGTATGACATCAAAGTACCACTAGTCGATACATTCGATGACATCAAAGTATAGCTCTCACAGTACTGTGATGTCATACAACGATCGGTCTGCGCAGAGGCGCCTCAACTTGAAGGAATGCATTCTGATTTGAATTGTTTTTTAACGTCTGTTAAATTCGGGTTAAGACGACACATCGTGATTATAGCGTTTAATAATGGTCGTGTAGCAGATGTTGAAAACACTGGTTTTGCGTAATTAAATTTAGAACACTACTGTTGACCAACGTAGCTAATTAATATTAATTAGGCACTCCAACTACATTAATATTCACAAGCTAAGTATTCAACATTGTAGGATTCGCTAGCTGTTTAACGCCCACTAACGTTTAAGCCAATCAGCTAGATAAACCTTACTTTATTAATTAATATTCACGAATCAAGCAGTCGTCACAACAGCACTATAAAATTGTTTGCTTGTTATCTCTACACACGAGAAAGCGTTAATTTCAGCGACTGGATGCACCAAAACTTTGATCGTTCTTGTCGGTATGATTTCACCAGATATCTAATATTTGGCCAAAATTACACGGCTTTAAACCACGGTAGAAAATTAAAAGGAGCCGCTGAACTAAATGTGAGGAAAGTAGCGTGTCGCTGAATAGTGTTAAGTTGAGCAGTAACATAAAACACAATCGATCACAAACTATTGACAGATGACGGTCTTTTTGTAGAGCTGAGTGTTGATTTCAGGCCAAAACTTGAGGGGACGAAAAGTTGGTTTTCAGTTTTAAAGCAAGCTGACACACGCCCGATCAGCCTTGAGGACGTTTCACAAGTAAACAAATGTCAGAATCAGGGCCGTTCACACAGAACGCGCTCGGAACGCAACGGGATTGAAAAGAACGCAGGGGCGCTCGAGACCCGTTTTTAAAATGTGAACCATGATATTAAGACGCATAAAAAGGGCAAAATGCGACTGACAGCCAAATACGTCAGTGTGACGCATATGTACACTAGGGTGACCATACGTGCCATTTTCCCAGGACGCGTCCTGGCCAGGATTTCTATATTGCCTAAAATATCTAGGTTTTGGCTTTGTTTGCGTGTGCAGACCGATCGGTGTATGACATCAAAATACCATACAGACGGTTCCTTATGCTTTCAAAATGCTTTCGAGCAATGCTGCACACGCAAACAAAGCCAAATCCTAGATATTTTAGGCAATATAGAAATCCTGGCCAGGACGCGTCCTGGGAAAATGGCACGTATGGTCACCCTAATGTACACAGACCAGCTATTAAATAAAAAAAAAAAACAGATCAGCAATGCAAGAACGCGTTCTGTACCACTAGTCCAGAAATAACGTTCAGAGTAGATTTACCTTGAACCGCAGTTAAGAGATGAAAGCAGAGCAACAAAGCGCAAAATACATCCATCAGTCCTGATCTCCTGTAACGTTCACAAAACTGTTGAAATGTCTACAGTTTCTACAGTTTCTCCAGCTGTGATGACAGAAATCTTATGTAGTCTTCTTCTTGTTACCGTGTATTGTGAACTACTGTGCCGGCTCTTACAGTAAGCTACTTCAGGAATCATATCAGAAGTAAAGCACTGAAACAAGAAGCACTAGCTTACTTCATTCACTCAGTCACTTCTCTCCTCCCTAAGCTCTCACTCCTCCCACTAGACTACAACTGCAGTTTGCTTTTTTCTTTAATAATAGGTCATCTACTTATATAATGACACATGTAAAAAAAAAAAAAAAAATCAGTATGATTTTGTCTTTGAAGTGTGATTTAATAAATAAAATAATGTTTATCTGTTGTCTGTTTAAACGGACTGAATTATAATTATTTTAAAACAGTTTTTTTTTTTTTTGGTTATGTGTAGTAATATAATTAAAGACAAAAAGTTGCTTTTTGTATGCCATTATACTAATATGTAAATATGTTTTTAAATAATGTTTCATCAGTTATCTATTTAAATTAAAATTATAATAATTATTTAAAAACTAATTATCATTCAAATTTTAACGTTTTTGTAATATGTAGTAATATAATTACTTATTAATTTAATATAATTATATAACTGAACTGGTACATTTTACTACACATTTCTGGACGTTAATTTTTCTGCAATAATTAAATGAGTATGAATAAATATTAATATATATATATATATATAATTGAATGATAATAATGCTTGTTAATGATAATGATAATAGTGATGATAAATAATTTTTTTCACTATTCTCAGGTAATATTTAAATTGTTTAATTTGGCTTTAGTATAGATATTAATATTCAAAGCATGTTGTGTTTATAATTGTGTTTCACTTTTTTTCTCACAATATAAATGAAAACCTAAAACGGCCTTTATATTTTAGGACGGCTGTCTCTGAGGTTTTTAACAGCAGACAAAGATCAGTTTTATACAGACTTTCGATGACTCTGAATTTTGCAATATTTTACAATGTTTTTCTTGCCGCACCATATTCACAATGTTTGTCATAGTTGACCAAATTTCAGTTTCAGCGCTTGTGTGAACTGCTTGAGTGAATTTTGAGGGGAGACATGGTATCAGTTTGGATCTGATACCTGATAGCATCAGACGCCAGAAGAAATGCACACATCAGTAACCTCCTGCCATCACACACACCATCAGGTTATGCAAATAGCATTCAAACTTGCTACACTAGTTTACCATGATACCATGAGATAAAGGTTACTCCACACTGATGCATAGTGTGTTCACATGCAAATACTTTCATCCAAAGACCATAAACATTGCCTTGCTGTAGACAGATTCTGTAACCTACTATTTATTTATTTAAATGAAATAATATATTGAAAGTTTTATTTTTTCAATGCATTGATACACTTCTCACATTTATTTTTAAGGGGCGTGTTTTTTTTTTAATTCATATATATATATA